TATTTCCATATAATAAATGTTATAGATTTTTGTAAATTACTCTAAATTGTTTATTAATCATTTTTATTACGAAGGTGTAAATTGAAGTGTATTTATTTATTTATTTATTTATTTAAATGAATAAATAAATAAATACACTTCTGAAGTGTATGTCATGACTTAAAAATATATTCTTTATTTAAAACGTCCAGATCAACCACATAACTACATATTCAATACATTAAACATTTTACTTGACTATTAATATTTTGTGATGACATAATATTTTTAAAGTTTAATATAAGTTATGTGATTTTGTTTAATGGAATGAAGTAAAAATAAAGCACACTTGTAAAGCACACGCAGATGACACACAGATATATTACTCTTTCAAACCCGAATACGCGGAAACCTCAATTGATCTCATTAATGAAGATTTGAATAATATTTCAGACCGGGCAAGTAAAAACTCATTAATATTAAATGCAAGTAAAACAAAATGCATGTTATTGGGTACCAAAATACAACGCAACAAAGTAATATCGCAATCGGTTCATATTAAAGTTTACGGTCAGGTCTTGCAAGGGGTGGACAGTGCTGTTCATTTAGGGTTAGTTATGGATAATGAACTCAGGTTCGTCGAACATATAAATTGTAAAATAAGGAATGCCATTTATCGTTTAAAAACATTATATAATATTAGAAAATATCTTTCAAAACCCATTAGGAAAATACTTGTCGAATCCATTGTACTGTCTTAGTTTAACTATTGTGACATAGTAAACGGGCCACGACTTTATGAAAAAACCAAAAAGGCCATACAGAGAGTTCAAAATGCGTGCGTTCGTTTCTGTTACCCTGTCCCCAAGCGTGCTCACGTCAAGCGGTTTCTTAACGATACAGACACATTAAAAATGGAAGCTCGAAGAAAAATACATCTTGCGTGTCTAGTACATAAAGTTATTTTTAAGAAAAGAGCTACGTACCTTTACGATAACCTGGACTGGGTTAGAGACGTGCAGCAGAGATGTACCCGTAGGAGAGAAGCAAATAAATTAGTGGTACCAGCTCACACATCGGCTCAATATAAAGGAGGGTTTAAATACTCTGCCACCAAGATATGGAACTACTTACCCCCTCCTCTGCGTAATAGTACGTCCCAGGTGACTTGGAAAAAACAATTGACGGTACTATTTTTAAATAAACAAAAGTCAGAGTAACATCCTCCAAATATAGTTTCAGTCATACTAACTCATAGATTTGGTACTTATCATATTTATTTTTAATGTCTTGTCTAAGTCCGTCTGTCTGTCTGTCTGTCTGTCTACCTTATGTCTAAGTTCCTTGTGATGTTTTTCTTTTTGTGTGATATGTTTTTTTTTCTCAAGGATAAGGGCTTTTTAGTTTTTGTTCTTATAATTTCATTTATTTATTTTCGTGTGCGTGCATTTGTGTATGTTTACCCAATAGTCAGGGGCCATCTGAAAATCAATGCTGTGCAGTAGCACAGCTTATACTGAGATGAACCCCTTGCTCCTATACTGTATTCTTTAAATTTAATTATTTATTCTGTATAATCTATGTAATGTGTGTAGCAAAATAAATAGTTTAAATGGTTTTAAATGGTTTAAAGTATAAAATATATCATAAATATATAATATATGAGAATACTTTTAAATAAAAAACAAAGCAACATAACGGTAAGGTAAAGATAAGGTACACTTAAGTAGTTTTTTTTTCCAAAGTAGAATAAATAAGCAATTATTGTTTAAGCTATCATGATCTCAAACACATAACGGTCCTAGTAAATTAAATTTTCCCAGTCTGAAGAGTTAAAAGTTTATTTTTTAAAGAAACGCTACTGTCTCTTATAAATCGAATTGTATTGTTTTTATCTTGTATACTGAAACAAACTATAAAGGATAAAAAATATATTACAAAAAAATGATTCACTAAATGAAGGCAAAATTTTAGCAAAAACTATAATTAAATGAATATAATAAATCATAGAACAAATATTTGTATTTTAAACACATACACACATATCTATGAACATGTCTAATATTGTTACTTGGATAGCTTAAATGTGTTTATATGTAGATATTAATTCACACATCAGAAACGTGTATTGTCGTGCTCCGCAAACGGAGAGTACATAGTCTCTGTCATCTGTAACATAATTCATTGTCAGGGTAGCAATGGAAACATAAAGGAAAGAAGGGAAAGGAGTTACGGGTTTATTAACTTGTTCTAATTGTACTACTGTCTACTAATAGTAGATTATCTTTCTAGTTCACTTACAATGGTCGTCATACTTTTATTGTAAATAATTTCGCCTGTAAGGATTATTTTAGTCCGTTTCCTTCACATTAAAATCTTTAATTTATTAAATTGTTAATTTCCTGAAAATATTTCTTAAGAGTTATCCGGATATAATAAGGAGCGGAAACAGAGGGTTCGGTAAGAAACTCATTTTTAATTAATTTGAAGGGCATTAATATTTTGGTGGTTTTAAGGGAATAAAATCGTGGAAATTATTTTTTGAAATATAATAACAGCCAGCATATGTATAAGGTTGGTATAGGCTAACTTTTTAAATAAGTATTAATTGCAAAACTTATATAGGAACAACCACGGTCGTTACTGACCATGTCTTTCTCATGACTCGTATATATTTAACTACATATACTATACTATAAAGAGGACCACACTGTGTACAGTGCTTCCCATATAATATGTATATTATACTAACCAAATTATAAACAAGATCATAAGATAAGAAGCTCTCAAGGCATGAGCACTCGGTCCAGCCTTCCCGATTTTGCTATACAATCCATTTCTTCGCGCCATACATCAAAGTCATGCGTGCTTGAGTTGAAATTGGCCACCTAATAGTTAGGCTACCTAATAGTTTGCAAAGATTTAATAGAAGCCCAAGCGTAACTACGATTGAGAAATCCTTATTATCTTCATGAGATTGTTGCGGAACATTCCCCAAGTCCACCGGACTTGTAATAAACAGAGTAGCAACATGAACATATCACTTCAAAAATTTTGTCTTGTTTTACCTTTCGCATAAATATAAACAAGGAAATACTGAAACTAAACAACAGCAGTCAAGTTATCAGTTCCTAATTATATAGATTTTTTTGGAAGAAACTCGTTGTTGAATTAAGATACTAGATGTGGAATTTACTTAAAAACTGTTATTTAATTACATACATCAATATTTTTACGCTTCGGTTATGACTTAAAAGTTAGAACCAAAATAGCGTTCAGACAAATAGGTTTAACCTTGCTCTTAACGATTTAAAACTAAAAACTTATGAAAAGATTTACGATGGTACCAGAAGTTAAAGTTGGTAAAGCAATCTTTACTATAGTTTACTACAACAATTTCAAAATAAGGGAACAATTAGACAATTTAATACGTATCTCAGTAAAACAAATATATTTAAAATACAGAACATTATACATACATCTGAAACATATTTAATGTAATTTTTAATATACATATATGTAAGTAAAGAACTTAAATCTAGTGACGCATCTAAGTGTAAACTTGAGTTTTAGAGAAATTCAATTCACACGTACTTTATTACTTTATTAGAGTAAATTCGAAGACAAGAACTTCTTAATCTTATAACATAGTAAAAGCGAAATTCTAATAGGATATGTATATAATATAAATTGTTTCTCATAATGTATTTATAATACTAATAATAATTTATATAAATAATAATATATATATCTAATTATATATATTTCGTTTTGATGTAAACCACTTATAAGCTTCAAAGGTATATTTATGGAGTTTTGAGTTGAAATTTACAACACTGACCAATTTTCTGTACATTACATAAAAATACATATTAATAAAATAAAATATAAATAATAAATGATGGAAATTTTGTTATGAATAGAAAGATGTAGCTGATTTAAGTGACAGAAGAAAACTAAATATATCAACATATTTTCATTTTTAAGTTAAATTTTAATCTCCAATTGTTAGTGTAACGGAACGAGAAAAAAGACTATACTTTCAATTTCAAATTAATAGTTACTTAAGATTTTTATAATAGATTACACAGCCAAGTGTGCGATGTGGCTTCATGAAAACTTCTTTGCAATTAAAAAAGTGATGTCAACTTTATAGTTATTAGAAACTGTCTTCTACAATATAAATACTAAATAATGATTATTTTCTTTTCAAAAACCAAACTGACACGTCAAAGGAAGTCCATATATTTTTATATTACAGATCTTTTCATTTTATTTATCACAAAATAAAAACTTTGTTCCTTGTATTTTCAGCTTTTGTTATTTCACGACTAAACAAACACTACTCTCAAAGTAATAAAGCAATACACGTCAGAGGCGTGTCTCTTCATTATTATGTTTACTGGCCTCGTGGTGTAGAATGCTTTCTCATGCATTTTATTGAAGTAAGATCAATGTGAACTCAATTAGGTATATATATAATGTTAATCCCATCAAAAACAATACTATCGCACTAAATAATTGAATTTACAAGTATTTTCAGGCGATTGAATTTACACGTGTTTCCAGCGCGATGGCCAAGTCTCAATATATTTATATAAAACATTAAAGAATTTTAATATAAATATGCGTCACTATAAGATGCTGTTAATTATTACGTAACAACTTAATACTTCGAGTACGGAGATTCCAGACACAATTGATTTTCAATTGTTATGGACCACGATCGTGGTCTTAGAGACTGGACGTATTAGGAGAGAAAGTCGCTTAAGTAGAGACTGAATAAATTAATAGCCGACTTGATATTACATGGCTCTCACAACTTTTTACCGTAGAATAACTGAGTTGCGAGATTCGTTTTTTTTTCGACAAGTATTGTTTTTGAGGGGATCTCATTTCTTTTTGTATTTTGTAGACAGGTCTACTTTTGTCCCTTTCGATACCTTCTACTTATTTATATATATGTATATCTACCAGCAACGAATTTTCTTAAAGCCTTCTCTCTGACTTATGATCTTTTATCAATTTTTGTAGGTAGCCTTCAGTTTTCTCTTTTTCGGTACTGCTTCTTGAGCTTCAGCTACAGTTTTTCTAAGCGCCCACTCCATGTCTCTATGTGTTTTTCTGGGAGGTTTTGATGTTACAATTATTGACAAATCTGGACGGTAAATGCTTCTTTGTCTATTGTATTCACAAATTGAGAATTCCTGCGCTTTAAAACTTCCAAAGTCAACATTAATTAGATGTAAACCGCCCAAATTTGTAACTCTCGAAAGTGCCACGTAAGCTTGACCGGATGTGAATACTGTAGAACCGATATCCATCAGTGCATTATGTAGACTTTGTCCTTGACTTTTATGTATAGTTATAACTATACATAAAAGTCAAATATATGCTATAGCATAGGCTATACATATAGGAAACTGTTAGCGATGCACATAAGCTCTGTAATAATTTCAAATTTAATTTTAAACGGACAAAGTTTGTAAACATGTTCTTCATTCAACGTAATGTATATTTTCTTAATGATTTTTGTTTTATCCCCATCAACCTTTAATCTTTGCACTATACCGTTAGAACCATTAACTAAATCAAGACTCACATCAATATTGATCTTTGATTTTTTCCTCTGGACAGATTGAAGGTTTAGCACAGGGGGTAAATGTTTATATGTATTTAAACGTGCGACAGCTTTTTGGTTAACTTCGGGATGAGAAATAGTATAACGCGATACTGCTTCTCGGTGAACTTCAAGATGAGAAGCAGTATAAAGTGATACTGCTTGTTGGTTAGTTTCGGAATGAGACGTAGTATAACGCGCTAATCGTAAACCCCTTAACATAAAAGTCGTTGTTATGGACTAAAACTAATTAATTAATTTAATCTCATAAATAAGTTTTCGTTTCTACATATATTTTTGAAATTATTTTTTGCAAACCATAATATATATTAAAAGGCATCAAAGTTAACTCATGTTCAATTGTGTGATTTTGGCCTAGTACATTACTACATACAATTCAACGCCACATTAGTAGAAAGTTTTATTTTAAACTAGTAAATCCGGCGAACTTCGTTTCGCCACCAGAAGGCTTTTATATAACATTTCGTTTGGTGATTAAAAGATGAAGATTTTTTTTTGTTTTATATTTGAAAAGGAAAATTTTTATTTCATTTCACAACTGTAATTAATTCATTTCGATTACAAAAATTAAGTGTTATTTAGTTGAACTTCTCTAAGTAAATGAAAGTGAATCCAAAGTAGATACCGAATCGAAGCGTTATACGTGTCCGCAAATTATCCGTTTCATTGAAGTGGTCCTTTGTAAACCACATTTTTTGTTTTTTGGTCTAACTTTAACACAAATAAAGCGGATGGTGTCCAAACTCGTAAACATGCAAAATATAACGCCCATGTGAAAAACAATATTTTCAAAATTTATCCCGCAAATACTAAATGGTTTTAAGATTTCAAACTACAAACACAAAACCGGTTTAGCACATGAAATTAACTGAGCAGAGAACAATGAGTAGCTGTCAACCAATGTATCATGCACCGGCACCATTTACTTAAAATATTGATTTGTAGTATTTATAGAGATGTATAAGTATTATATATTTTTAAATGCTTATAACATTTCCTTATAATCTTTCTTAAATAATATCTATATATATAAAAGAAAGTCGTGTTAGTTACTCCACTTATAACTCAAGAACGGCTGAACCGATTGAGCTGAAAATTGGCAGGGAGGTAGTTTAGAACCAGGAACCACTTTTTATCCCGTTCGACAGCATTTCCGTGGGACTTTACATGAAACGTCAGTCACTATAAAACGTGGAATAACAAAACACAATTGACAGCTATGCAATTGACGTATAATGACAGATATGTAATAGTAGAGGATCCCGATATAAGCGACCTTCACCGAGATGTTTATTTGATGAAACATATTTTATATTCAATTTAATATGTCAATAAATATATTACATATGGGTTGCCTCATAAATTTTAGTCCAGGATATGATTAATTAACAATTAAAAATAGATTTTTTTTCAAATATTTCACCGGTTTGTCTATTAGATAAATTCCACAGCAATCGAAAGTACGGAGCCCATAGAATATGAAAAAGTTAGGTTGCATTCTTTTCCAGTCACAACTCTCGGGTTGCCTGGGATAAACAGGTACATCGATAGTAGCATTTTGCACCGGTCTGATAATTTAATCAAATTTAAATGAAAATAGAGATTATTTAATTATGAACACAGTGAAATAGGGTTGCCTGCGAAAAATCGGTCCTAAATTAGGGTTGTCGAATTTTAAAAAGTAAAATATTGCCGCGAGTGAATATGTACGACTAAGAGGTCCTAAGCAACTGTTCCGTGCGTTAGAAGAGGACAGAGCATAACAGCTGCGTTAGGTTCGCCCATTTAAAGAAAGAGAGTGTGTATGCTATTTGTCAGTGCAACTGACAAGGATAGCGATAGACGTGTATATGCTGTGAATCATTTTGGAGTAATGTATTATTATTATATTAAAAATAGAAGAATAGTTCTTTAATATTAATTTAATTAATTATTTATGTGTATATATTTAATGTGACATTAAAGTATATATATATATATATATATATATATATATATATATATATATATATATAGTAAATAAGAAGGTTATAACAATACATATGTAATACTAATTGAGAGTAATTTTTTTTATTCGAAAAAAAATGAAAAACAATTAAAAATGAATATCTGTTTATTATAAAAAATTATAAATACATAAATATTTTTAAATTATTCAGCTTCTGAGTCATCGGACATGAAACTGAGATCATCGACATCTGCACCTTCTTCTTCATCACTCTCCGTTTCGGTTCTTTCGACAATATCATCTATTCTTAAAGGTAAATATTCATCTAAGTACCAACCGCAGCTCTCAGGTTCAAGTTTGATGCATATTGGATCTGTTGCATTCAGCCACATTGAATTTACGAAAATAGTTATAATTTTTTTTGCGTTAATGATATCCAGCACGGAGGTATGGAGTTAGAGTCAAAGCCTTTGATTTTTTTTTTGAAACTGCTCATTGTCTTCTTTAGCAGAGTAATTTTTCATAAAAATGCTTGGGACCTCTCAGTCGTACATATTCACTCGCGGCAATATTTTACTTTTTAAAATCGACAACCCTAATTTAGGACCGATTTTTCGCAGGCAACCCTATTTCACTGTGTTCATAATTAAATAATCTTTATTTTCATTTAAATTTGATTAAATTATTATCAGACCGGTGCAAAATGCTACTATCGATGTACCTGTTTATCCCTGGCAACCCGAGAGTTGTGACTGGAAAAGAATAGGCAACCTAAGGTTTTCATATTCTATGGGCTCCGTACTTTCGATTGGTGTGGAATTTATCTAATAAACAAACCGGTGAAATATTTGAAAAAAAATCTATTTTTAATTGTTAATTAATCATATCCTGGACTAAAATTTATGAGGCAACCCATATGTAATATATTTATTGACATATTAAATTGAATATAAAATATGTTTCATCAAATAAACATCTCGGTGAAGGTCGTCTTCTATCGGGATCTTAAACTATAATGAAGTATGGATGACAATTTGATATTTGTAAGAAATCTACTATATAAAAATAAGTCCGGTTTTCCATTCTGACGCTATAACTTCAGAACGAAAGAACCAATTTAGACGGTTTTGCATTTGTTAAAATTTTTATAATAAATTTAGAAAATCATTGTTTTTCACATGGACGTTATATTTTGCGTGTTTACGAGTTTGGAAACCATCCGCTTTATTTGTGTTAAAGACCAAAAAACAAAAAATTTGGTTTACAAAGGACCACTTCAATGAAACGGATAATAATTTGCGGACACGTATAATGCTTAGATTCGGTATCTACTTTGGATTCACTTTCATTTACTTAGAGAAGTTCGACTAAATAACACTTTATTATTGTAATCGAAATGAATTCATTATTATTGTGAAATGAAATAAAATTTTTCCTTTTCAAATATTAAACAAAAAAAAATTCTTCATCTTTTAATCACCGAACGAAATGTTATATAAAAGCCTTCTGGTGGCGAAACGGAGTTCGCCGGTTTTACTAGTTTTATATAAGAAATAAATAAAGTACAAGTAACCAACATACTTTAAGATGGTATAATTTTCGAGTTTTTTTTTTAAACGAGACCTAACCTTTTACCGCTCTCTACCGCTGTCGAGATATGTATAAATTATTGTATTACGATCTTTATATATTAGTTTACACAGAGAGAAAAAAAAATTGCGTCTACTTACGCCTGTTTCTCAGAGTATTTAGACACCACTGACATACGGTGAAGGAAAACATCGTGAGGAAACCTGGACTTATAGTTTCACAATTATAAGTTTGAAATCACCATCCCGTCTTGAGCAAGCGTGGTGATTAATGCTCAAACCTTCTCCATGTGAGAAAGAGGCTTTGCTCAGCAGTGGGCGCTAATAGGCTGATGATGACGACGCCTGTTTTGATACGGTGCCAAAACATATTTAAATATATTTATATTTATTTTTTAAATAAATTAAAAAACATATTTTTTAAAATATTTATTTATATATTAAGCCTTATACTTTCACGTATATGTGTGCAAAAATATAGATCATTTAGTTTTGAAATAACTGAGATACGGAGTTTGGAGATGAAACATACGGGATTTTACCACGGTGCGGCGGCCGCCATGAGTCAGACGCGGAACCATAAGTACTTGTTTTTACCATTGCCGTTGTATACAAATTAGTGTTGATGTAGGTGTCTCCATGCTCATCATAAGTATTTACACTTGTAACTCATCCCAATTCGCTACCACATACTCGATTATAGCCAGTCTAATATCATACGACGACTTAATATTCCCATACATAGAGAATGACAAAGAATGAAATAAACACGAACCATCACCAGGTATAGGAACAACCCAGTGTGGACAAGACTGGTCATTCACATACAGTATTACTGAATCCATTGAGACTCCCTACAAGTTAGATTGCAAAGTTATTTTTATGCAGAAATACGATTAGGTAATAAGAAATTTATAAATACTTAGGTACTTAAAGAGTCAATATAATTTAAATTTAAATTATTTATCCGAACAACATCCAAATTGTAAGCTAATAATATCAGCAAACCAATGAGAGTAGCCTTTAGTCGTCAAACTAATATAGCAATCAAAATTATCAATGAAACTCGCAAACTTATATGCAATAGGCCCGCGCTCACTCGCTAGCATCGCAGCGCGTGGTGTAATAGTTAATTTACAACCTTAC